GGGGGCTGGGAAGGGGGCGCCGCGGCGTTTCGCCACCGGATCTCGGCCCAGGGGCCCCCGCCCCCAACTTTCTCGTGCCCGAGGCTTTTCTGGCGGGGTGGAAGGGACAAGGAGTGGGGGCGCGGGCTGGTTGACCAGCTGAGGACTTAGGGACTGGGTTTTCCCGCCTCGCTGTCCCTAGTTCTTGGTGTGCTCCTCGCCCCACTCCTAGGAATGCCTTTCTGCCCGCCCTGCTCGCAAAGGTCCCGGGGACTGGGGCCGTGCACCCACGGGGCACCCAGGCACCCTTTGGGCACAGGCGCTGGGACATTGCCCAGTTCGAAAATCTCAGCTGGGCACACTCTAGTCCCTGTTCCCACCCAGGACTTCCTGGTGGCTGGAATGTTGGAGGGGAAGGCTGGATGGAACAAGGGCTTAGGTTCCCGCAGAGCCTCCAGGCATACAGTCACTTAGGGTACCCTGGCCTCTTTGCACACCCCACACATACATGTTGCCCCCCCACCCGGGACTGTTGGATGTGTATGTCCCCCCCACACACACACACACTTGTCCTGTTACTGATTCTGAGTGGCTGAAGGGAGACCCAGGGGGCCTGGGCAGACACTGACCTGGTACTTTCTAAAGACAGCCTCAGCTCTCCTGAGAAGGAAAGGGGGGAGAGGGGGAGAAGTATTTACACGTGTCAAAGATGTTTGTCTGAAGCTCAGAGAGTCTGGGAATTTGCCTGTAGTCACACAGCATAGGGCAGGCAGAAACAGGACTGTATTTCAGCTCAGCTGATACTTTTATTGGCCCATCTTTGCATGAAAACATGCCAGGAAGGGTGTGTGTGGTGTGTATGCATAAAGTGGGGTTCTAGACCACCTGGGTGATCTTAGCTGGTGTGCTCAGGGCCCTGCCCCTCCCTCCTGCCTCCCACCTTCTCAGCTCCTGCCCCTGCACACAGTCAGGTATTAATAGAGCAGGCGGCTGCCAGGAAGGCGGCCATGTGGTTGATCTGACGTGGTTGTGCAGCCATATGTTCTCCACTTTGGGGGAGCACCCCTCCTTCCCTTCCTCAGCCTGCCTTCCTTTGGCAGGGATGGGGGCAAGAGGGGGTGCCAGTAGCAGAGTGCGGGGTCTGGGCTGGCACCTGTAGGCTGAGAGCTGGCAGCCTGTTGCACAGGTTGGGTGCTGCAGTCATCCTCCGGGCAGTGCCCGCCCCCAGCAGGGTGAGGACTCCTACTGTTTCAGCCTGGCTTCATGGCTGGGGCCAGTCCAGACTCCTGCAGCCTGGTTGGCCTGGCTTTTGGTCCTTGGGACTAAACAACTTCCTTTGTCCGGGAGGGATGGGGGAGAGCCTGGCAGTGTGTGGAGACCTTGTCATGCTAAACCAGACCTCTTTCCCTACACACACACACACACACACACACACACACACAGTATCCGGGAGACAGTGTCCCTCCCAAGCAGGCTGACACCTCCTTCCACCTCCCCCCAGGCCTGAAGCTCCTGGGAGCCCCCATGAAACTGACAGTGTCGCAGGGACAGCCGGTGAAACTCAACTGCAGCATAGAGGGGATGGAGGATCCTGAGATCCAGTGGGTGAAGGACGGGAATTTGGTCCAGAGTGTGGACCAGGTGTGCATCTCAGTCATCGAGCAGCATGGGATCTGCTTCCTCAGGTGCGGGCCTGTGAGGGAAGGTATGGGAAGCCAGCCTGGCTGGGGTGGGGGTGGGGCAGGCTGTGTGCTCTTTCCTGGAACTTGGGAGCTGGGGGCTGTGTTGATGTCCCGAGATCTGTTTTTTTGCTGCTGCTGTTGTTGGTTTAATTCTGCAATCTGTGGAACCTTCCAGAAGGGGGGCCATGCTGAATCCATGCAGTCCGTTCAGCAAAGCTGCCCCCGCCCCCCTCTGGCCCCTTGATCCTGGGAGGTGAGCCTGGTGTCTCATTTCCACAGCCTGAAGTCAGTGGAGCGCTCTGATGCGGGCCAGTACTGGTGCCAGGTGGACGACGAGGGGCAAATCCTGACCTCCCAGCCAGTGTGGCTCACAGTAGAAGGTGAGGAGGCAGAGCCACCCGGGCAAGTGGACCTGGAGCAGGTGCAGCCTGCCCTTCACACACCTGGCAAGGAGAGCTCATTAGAAACCAGGCTGCCCTACCTGGGGCTGAGCTGCAATTGCTGGGGGCCTACGGCCATCCCAGACCCTGGATGGCCAACAACCCTCCCCGATGCGTTGAAGTCTGGGCATGTGAAAGCTGAGGCCAACAGGACTCACAGCCTGGGGTGCACGCGCCTTTGTCTCAGTAACAAGCCCCAAGCACCCATGTGGCTCCTGTCTCTGTTCTGCCTAATGGCCTGGCCCGCCGGGCCGGCTGGGTAGGGGGAGGGCAGAAGGCTCCGCAGCTGGGAGAGCTGGAGGCTCAGTGCTGTTCAGCCCAGGAAAACAAAGTGACTAAGAAAGTAACAAAGGGGCCTGCCAACAGAACTCTGCTCCAGCTCCCGCCCACTCCCCCTTCCTGCTGGCCCCTCCCCCAGTTCTCTGCTCCCCACCCCCAGTCTCCTCCCTTTCTTAGAGAAGGGCTCTGTCAGAGTAGGTCTGGGAAGGGAGTGTGGGAGTGGTAAGCCGAATCTGTCACGCCTGAGGTTGGCTGAAGAAAAGGCTCCCCCTCCCCAGGAAGCTAGATGGCTAGGCTGCCCTTGGGGACCTTCTGCCTAGAGGGGTTTCTAATGGGATCCAACTTGTGATTTGGGCAATCCGGAGCTAGAAGGTGGCAAACTTCACTCTCTGATCCCCCTCCCCCCAGGTGTGCCGTTTTTCACTGTGGAGCCAGAAGATCTGGCTGTGCCACCCAATGCCTCTTTCCAACTGTCATGTGCAGCCAAGGGCCCCCCGGAACCTGTTACCATCATCTGGTGGCAAGGAGGCACAAAAGTTGGGAGGCCCATGCCCTCCCCATCCCTTTTGAATGTAGCAGGTGAGCAGCCTCAGAAAGGGGCTTTGATCAGTTCATGAGCTGGGGCCTGGAGACAGGGAGCCTAGGGAGTTTGGGGACCACGAGAGTTTGCTGTTGGGAATGCCCAGGGGCCTGGCCACGGAGCTGCACCATTCCTGAGCACCTAGGTGAGGTGTAGCTGGCTGGCAGGGTAGGCTGATAAGGAGAACTTCTGCTGTGTGGTTTCAGTGGGGTGTGCTGGGACCAGCCTCCCTCCTTGGAAACAGTCCAGGACTGGCAGGCTGACA